GGACCAAATCCGCTAAGATATATATTTATTCGAGATCAATATTCCCTTAGACTCAATGTCTTACCAGGATTAATACTTTCTTAAATTCTATCGGGATTAATACTCCTTCAGACTAAAAATATACCAGGATCAATCAATCCTATTTTACACCTGAGTGAAGAGGAGACGTTCTCTTCATAGCGTTTAAAAAATATAGAAGGGCCCTCTTTTATTTGAAAGTCAGACACCCAAAGGTGCAACTTTAAGACATCACATAGAAAAATGATGTGTGTGTGTGTGTGTGTGTGTATAAATTTCAAGTCAATAAGACTAAATATGAGCACTTAGATAAATTGTTAAAATGTCAAGAAAAATTAATACTCTGAAAAAATTTCTACAGTACCGAATAATATCTAGACAAACGTGTTTGCAATACTTATATATTTCTCAAAGTAGAGAATGCTTTCTATCATCTACCATGATAATGTAAACGTCATCTAGCTCGGAGAAGAAACTGAGCAGGCTGAGGATTGGTTCGGGGATTACTCTAACTCTTCTCGGAAAGATCGTCCCTTACCTTGTCAGATCTTTTCTTCGAATGACGTACAAAGACATTCTCTGAATCAGTAACCATGAAACACTTTTCCATCCGCTTCTAAGCACCCTTGATCAAAAATCCGATCTTGAGCCTCATCAGCCGCCAGAGTCTTGGTCAAGATTCGAGGTTGTCAATCTCGATTAAAACACTTACAATAATAGAAGAAAATCAATTTAAGAGAGTCAAAAGAAACTTACAAGTGTAATTCTATCTCTCCCGAAATGGACAGTCACCAAGCTCAACCAATTCGAACATTGAAACAGTTACGAATCTGTTGTACTACCCCCTATCATGATCATCTTCAGGGTCGACAAGAACTCGTTCCCTACGAGCAACAAGAGTAAATATTCCGGTACAGAAGAATTTGGGAGAATATAAGTGAAGAAGATGGCAAATGGTGAATTTTGAAATGAGGACGCGCCACTGCTCTCTAAATTATTTGAACTTTTTGAGCTAGGTAGATATTGAAGTGCTGGAACAATCCTTCTATCACCTTCTATTGCAGGTTAAAACCCGAGGGTGAATGACACGTCATTAAAACCTCGGGAAGAGGCGATAAAATATTCTCACCATAAATAAATTTACCACTTCCCGAATATTCAATTGAAATTATTCAGAAAGTGGAGGGACTATCTATATTAGTGAAAAATAGACTCGCCTTGTGGGTCTATTAAATGGAGACACTTGTCAGCAAAGTTATGAGAAAAGTGAAATTATATGTAAAGATGATATGTGAAATACCCTCGGGACTGAATATACTCGTGTCGTGTCTAATAATCTCGAAATTGATCATCATAGAATAGCCCTGGATCAGATACAGGAGAATAAATCGTAATTACAAATGAGGAAAGAATCAATTAATCGCTAATTATATGGGATTTATCATCATTATGCCATCAGTTACAAATCAATTATGTAACATACAATAAATGGTTGTAACAGGCAGAACAAGGCAATTAATAATGAAATTGACTCAACAGGTACGAGATTGACTCAACATGTATGGGATTAACTCATTAGTTAAGGAATTAACTCATCAGTTACGGAATTCCAACATTTACTCAGCCGTTATAAGTCTTCCAAAAGTAACGGATGGATTAAGCAAATACTCTTATAAATGGACCCATAATTCAAGGAAAATAGTTACCTAGATCTAGTCCTATAAATAGACACACTTTACCACCATTGTAATCATCTAATTTTCTTCGCTACAGTTCTATACATTGTAATTCGTAGCAACTTGCTCCCACGTTTGCCATAGTTCGGCTCTTCAAGCTCTGTTCGGCTCGTCATCCTATCAAGGATCGTCCAATAAGAATTATTTCTTCTCTGTTTTATTTTTACTATATTATCTGTCATTGAATTCATTTTTCACTTCTCTATCATGTCGTATTAACGAAAATTTAAATCTTTCAGATCGAATCGATTGCTTGTGGCCCATTATATAAAATTAACTAACCACCCTTCGTAGAAAAATTATACTGTATATATAGGTAAAATATTAGATTTTAGAGGTATATAATATATATTGAACACTCTTTGTAGGAGAAAGTTTTTCACTTCTTTCAAGTTTGAACACCCTTGAGTAAATTCCTGGCTTCGCTACTATGATATATTAAAAGTTAGAAAGAATGGGATACTCTTCTTGGAAAGAAGACTGGCTTAGGACGAAACTATGAGTAATGAGAAAGACAAGTTAAGCGAGTGATGAGTGGTGGGATAAGAAGATAAAGGTACTTATAATTCCTCTACAAACACTTGAACATAATGATATATAGTTTTGTAGTGAGATTAACTTTCCTTATTCTTCTTCCATAGTCGTTGGAGAATCCAAATGTAAAGAAATTCAAAGAGAAAAGCTTATATTAAAGTTTGCGGATGTTGTTACTACCATTTAACATGCGTAGGCACCATCGTCTTAAGTGTTCTTCGATTATATACAAGGAAATAATTTTTATCAACATGAGCACCATTCAATTTTGAAAGTCTGGTTGTGAAAATGGATGACTTAAGGAAGATCTCGAGTAGAGACTTAGAACAAATTAATCTAGCGGAAGTTATTGGAAAAAGAGGTGTCAATGAGAGTTGTAATAAACAAGAAAGAACATCAGCAATGAAAACAAATTAATATAAGTTTGAGGATTACCTCATCAATGGAGCGAATTGCAAGAGCCATGAAATCATGCTCTTCGTATTGGTTCAAGGGACATTTCACGTTGTATTAAGAGTGTACTGATTGTTGTGTATTAACCTTATATCATTGTCCGTAGTGATTTGTGGTGGAAATGCAAGCATGTAAATAGTCAATCAACAAATGAGAAAAATGCTTTTAGCACAGGAAAACCAGAGTTGTAATTGCAGAGGTAGAAAAAGATATCTGAGCTTTGCCAAAGCCTATAATTTATGGCAATCCATTGTTTGCATTTGAAAATTTTATGGTTTTACAAGTTACTATAACTTGTATTTGTATCTCAGAATTCTACGTATTCGAACTTTTTCTCATATTTGGAAGAATTATATCTTTGCACAATTGCACTTACATGAATTCTGAACTTCAGATAAGCGACACTATATTATGTCTTGTACGTTTTATATGTAAATAATGATCTAATTATTAATTACATATCAATTAATCAATTTCTTAATTTTTCTTTATTTGTACTTGACTTTGGTAAATATTCTTTAGTGGATCCAGGCTATCCAACAATGGTGGGTCATTTAGGACCATAAAAGGGTGAATGTTATCATCTCCTTTGTTTCGAGCGTAACTCTATTTTCAGAAATCCAAATAAGGCTTTTTCTTTTCACGTTTTAAAGTCTATAGATGTACAATTGAAAGAATATTTAGGATTTGAAAGGTCACTATAATGTCACATTTCAAGTTTGACACCAGGTTCTTTCTTGTCACAACTATTATGGTTATACATAATTTTATACGACGACATTCCACTGATATTGAGTTCAACCATTATGTTAATGAGACTCATTTATAAATGCAGGCAGTATGATCAACTTATATATATATGACATATCCGTTTACTATTTTTTTAAAACAATTCCACTAATATAGTTATTGAGGAGCTATAAAGAAGGGCAGATTTATGTTTACTCAAGTTGGTCGGATTAGTATTTGAAGGAGATGTGAACTGTGAAATCAAAAGTGCAAATTTTTTGCGAAGATAAAGGACTACATAAAACATGTATTAGAAATTAAGGATCAAAATAAACCTACCACTAATCTTCTTTTAGTTTTGAGAAAGCTTTTAGACGGAGTCATAACTCTTACATATCAATATGTATGTGGAGCATTCTCTATTCCTATCCGTAGATATGTGTTCCTAGGGGCTTGATCTTGTTTCGTATTTAATCCATATAACAATTTGTACAAGAATATATAGGTTTCTAGCTAGCTGAAGGTATTCTAGGTGTTTGCGTAGCATTGCAGCAGTTAATTTGATTTCTCTGAATTCCACCCCTGGAGATTTGGTGACAACTAAATCTAGATCAGTTAACTGCAGCCACACAAGATTTGATAACTAGAAGGCATATATACTAGGAAAAGTCATGCTACATATTAGCTCCTTGGTACTCGATACTCTTTGCAACGAATTGTACACTTACGAGTTTTACAATGCCAAAGTTCCTGGTCTATAGCTTATTTTCTGCATCAATGATTATCCAAACATAAGAGTAGCATCTTATGTATTGCCCTTTCTGAATTGGTCTACTGATCATATTCTAAAAACAATGAGTGGCAAAAGAAATTAGAGCCTTCCACAAGTGTTAACCGGCAGTAGACAATAAGTCAAGTCGATTCGAGGCTCAGCTTAACTTGCGCAGTTCGACTCAACTCAACTTAGTCAAAGTTTGGGTTTGAATGAGCACCACTAGGCTTGGCCCACTTAAGTCGAGTAATTGTTACATTAAGAATAAAACTCATCATACGAAAATAATAGGGGCTACCCAGTTTTTGGACTATTAATTGAAAAATAGCCAGCATTTACAAATTTTTTAAAAAATAGTCACTGTTTTACTGAAACACGAAAAGTCACTACTAGAAAAACATTAATTTGTGACAGAAATTTCTGACTGAAAATGAAGCAATCGCTAATGAGACTACTTTTGCGACTGTTGTAGTCGGAAACAAACTGAATTTCTATTACTTTTTAAAAAAATACATTCGATTATTATTCCGACGGAAACAGTGGAAAAAAAGCGCGATAATTTTTCGTCTTCACTTTTACGACCGATTCGGTCGGATTTTAAAAAGTCAAAAATACTAGTGGATCAATAAAACGATTGCTTTGGTCGCAAAGTTAAAACTAAAAAGGTAAAACAAAATTTAAGTGGGTTTGTGACCACGGTAGTTAGAAATCTAAATTTAATATTTCAGTAATATTTTTTTCCCCAATTTTTGCCCGCCCTATTTCCCCAATTTCCCTCCTCTTTCTTTCTCTCTCTCGATATCTTTTTTCTTCTTCGATTTCTCTTCCATTTCACCTGTGAGGCGGATTGTTCTTTGATTTCTCTTCCACTCCATCTGTGCGGCTGGCAGAGGCAAACGGCTGAAGGAGGCAAAAGGCTGACAGAGGCAAGCGAATGAAATCTTACGGTAAGAAAAGAAAAGAAGTAATTAGTTTTGTTTGCTGGTCACATTATTTTTAATTTGTTGCCGATTGAAAGCTTATATGCGTGTTTTTCATGTATAGATTCCATATATGAACTTTATTCATACGACCAATCGACTTTTTGTGGTGCAAACACAAAAAATATTTTAGCTTCTGATAGTTTAGCCTTCAATTTCGAAATTTCAGTTTGAAAAGGAAAAGCATAAAACAAACAAAAAAATCAGTTTTTTTATTTACTCTCATCTCAAGAAGAAGAAGATCGAAACAGAGATTGGGGTATTGCGGAGACGGAGTGGTTTCGAGTGCTAATTCGAAGTCGAGGTTCATGGTTCCTGCTATAGTATGGTCGCTGTTTCAACCTTTTCAGTTCAGAGAGTGTTCGGTGAAACCAATTCTTCCTAATACATTGAAAAGCTATTGAGGTCTATCTCTCACCTTACTCTCTTTAAAGTTCTTCTGTGTATCTTGCGATTGATTTTCGATGACATGAATGCTACTTGTTTGTTCTCTGTCTATAATCCGCTTCAATTGGTTTGATTGTTGAGTTTTCTTTTCGATCCATAATTTCACCTGAGAATAGCACTAAATCAGTTCATTAACCAAGTAATAATGTGTTTGTTTTCTTTTTGGTTATTTGCACACATTCTCACACACAAAAAAGTGAATTATATTTTGTTTTATTGTGTATAGTTTCTGTATGTTTTATATCCTTTCTGGTCAGAAACTTTTCCTTGGTTTGCTCTGTGAAATTCTTTTTGTTGACTTACCGCTTTCGTTAATGTGATGCGTTTTTTCTTTTTATGTCGCTTCGCCAGCACCTTGTTGATTTGTAATTATCTGGTGTCTTTGCTATTTCTGTTACTATGATACAATTCCATGAGTTGCCTCGCGGGCATTATTACGCTATTGCAGATTGTGTATTTTCTTTTCCTCTGTAAGATTGTGATTTGGTTGCCTCTGCTTATGGTTCTGTCCATGTTTATCTCTTGTATAGCATTCTTTGAGTTTCAAAATATACTCTATCTATGCATTTATTTTGCCTTAAGTTTTCAAACTACTCAGTTGTTTCATTCTTTGGAATATAACTGTAGTTTAAAATTTCCCTCTATGTTCAAAGACATCAAAATCATACCTTTAAGGTTCACTTGAGTGCTATTTGGAATCACATCCAGCCTTCTTCTTGTGTGATTAGGGAATTTAGAACTAATCACTGCCGCTTTACATCCCTTGCTCAAAGTTCAAGGGTTCGGAGCCACTGCATCTCCTTAAACCCAAAGTTCTTCATCTGCCTCTATCCCCTATAACTTGCTGCCTTTTAGAACCTTAAGTCTCTTTAAAAGGTTTCTTGTCTCGGTTCGGCTTTAGGCATTACAGAGAAATTAGAATTTCTTATATCGGTGACATTGTATTTTCCCTGGTGGAAACAATTAGGTCATCATTTCTTAATGCTTAACATTTTAATTTCAGGAAGCCTATTAAAAATGTTTGGAGGAATGGCGTCAAAGTCAACCTGATTCCGAGGATGGTAGCTCAACCCAAGTGTCACTCAATGATGTAGCTTTAATATGGACGCATGTGGTTGGTGGTGCAAAGAAAGGTAGAACCTACGGTCTTAGATCACAATATTCCGTAGGTCGTCCTACGACATTGTTGTCTGGTGATACGAGTTATTCGCAGGATCATGAAGAGGTGGAAGCATTACGAAGAGAAGTTGAAGAGTTGAAGGAGGAACAGAAAGAAGATCGTGCAAATTTTAACAAATTGCAGAGTTTAGTGGAGAAACTTATGAGCATGCGTCAAGTTGATCCTTTGAATGACGAACATGGCGGGGATAATGAGTTTTAGTTTGTTGTGGTTGTGATGTTTGAGACATTATTGTTTGTTATGGTTGGATGTTTAGACTTGGTAAATGTTTAGACTTGACTATGATTGTAATCTTAAGATTTGATTGAATGGTGCTTGGGTGTTTTACTTGTGTTTGGATGTTTTAGTTACAAATGTTTATGTTTTCTTTAATTGTTTGCATTTTATGTGTTTGATTAGTTGAAATGGTGGATTAATTGGTTGAAATGGTGGATTGATTTTTTAGTTGCTGTAATTTGGAATTGACATGTGGTGTTGTTTTAAAACAGTTGAAATCTGTCAAAATATTTGCAGTTTTTCGACTGAATTCCGACTAAGGTAGCCGCAAAATGCTTTAAAATTTTCCAGAATTAGAACATTCTGCGACCGTAGTGGTGGAAAATATAAATATATAAATAATATTAAAATAGTTTTGCGACCGTAGTAGTGGGAAATATAAACAAATAAATAATATTAAATTAAAATTGTGACTGAATTATTGGGAAAGCTCAAATAAAATAAAAATACTTTTTAATATTTGCGACTACTATGGTGGGAAAGATTATATAAAATTATAATTATTTTTAAGTTTTGCAACCGAAGTAGTAGGAAAAGTAATATAAAATTAAAATTTAATTTAAATATTTTGTGACCGCCGCGTTCGGACAGTTGACAGGATTTGTTAGTCGTTTTCTATTTTCTGTTTCTGACCGATGTAGTCGCAAATTACGGACGGATTCGGTCGCAAACAATTTCAGACCAGCTATTTTGCGACCGCGTTATTTCGGTCTAAATGAGGTCGGAAATTAGCATTTTCTGACTGCATTCCGACCGTTTTCGCAGTCAGAAAATAGCTATTTTCTAGTAGTGAGTTCCAGCATAATATGTCGGATTATTGTGATGACCCGATAGGTCATTTTGAGTATTAGCCATTAATTCCGTGTTCTGAGATCTCTGTTAGCTTCGTTTGATGTTTCTTGGTTTGCGTGTGTTGTCCGTGTCACTTTTTGAAAAGCTTTTATGTGAAAATTTGAAGAAACCATAATTTTTAGTTTTAAAATCAACTTGAGTTGACCACGGTCAACACTTTGTGAAAACGACCTCGGATCGGTGTTTTAACGATTCCGATAGGTCCGTATCGTAGTTTTGGACTTGGGCGTATGCCCGAAATTGAAATTTGAGGTCACTAAATTGATTTGACTCATTTTGCCATAAACTAGTATTTTGAAAGTTTGGAAATTTTTAAGTTTGACCGTAAGTTGACTTCATAGCTAACGGGTTCGGATTTTGATGTTGAAACTTGGTATAGGTCTGTATTTCTATTTGAAACTTGTTTGCAAAATTTGGTGCAATTCGGAATTGATTGGACATGATTCGGACGCTTTGATGTGATTCTAGTTATTCTTGAGTTTACTTTAAAATTTCATTCAATTTGAGGATTGATTTGTAGATTTAGATGTTATTTTGGTGATTTGATTGCGCGAGCAAGTACATATGATGTTATTACACTTGTGTGCATGTTTGGTTTGGGGCTCGGGTGAGTTTCGGATGAGTTTGGTGAGTGTGAAAACTGCTGGTGCAATACCAGTTCTGGTGCTCTGTTGCAAATCTCGCAATTGCGAGGTCTGGCTGCCTCGCTTTTGCGAAGAATCGTTCGCATTTTCGAGCATGGGCTGGCCTGGGTGAATCTCGTATTTGCAAGAATTTGGGTTCGCTTTTGCGAATTGTGGCCTTTAGCTTTTGCGAAGGAAGTAGTCGAATTTGTGATCACTGACCACTTGAGTCTGCTTCGCAATTGCTAAGTTTCTAGTAGCATTTGCGATTAGGGTATGTTCGCATTTGCGATCTAAATGTCGCATTTGCGACTTCTGTTCTTTGCTGACAGGGTTCGCATTAGCGACCCTTGTCTCGCATTTGCGAACAAGACAACGCAATTGCGAGATCTGCAACTGGGTAAAAGAGGGAGGAAACGGGACTTAGCTCATTTTACACAATTTCTCAACCCTAAACACTCTAGAGGCGATTTTCCAAGAGACTTTTCTTCCCAAATTCATTGGTAAGTGACTCTAATCCATTTTCTTTCAATTACCCATTACTTTTCATGATATTTCAACATCAAATTTAGGAGTTCCATGGTAAAAATTAGGGATTTGGGTAGAATTAGAGATTTTTGTAAAATTGAGATTTAGACCTCAAATAGAGGTAGGTTTTCGAAAGAAATTACATAATCAGGCTCGGAGGTGAATGGGTAATCGGGTTTTGGTTCGAACCTCGAGTTTTGACCAAGCGAACCCGGGGTGGACGTTTGTTAACTTTTTTCAAAATAATCAAAATTGAACCTCTTTCATTAATGGGTAGTTTCTAAAGGTTATTTTAAATCATTTGATCGATAATTTGCTAGATTTGGTTGGTTTGGAGGCTTGTTCAAAAGGCAAGGTCGTGGTTGATTGATTGCTTGAATTGTAGAGTGAGGTAAGTGTTGGGTCTAACCTTGACTTAAGGGAAATAGGGAACCATGAACTATGTGTTATGTGAATTATGTGGGGGGAAAACAGCATATATGCGAGGTGACGAGTGTATATACGCCGTCATGATACTTGTTTTCCATATTTTTGTTTATTTCATGATATGTCTTGCTTCATGCCTTAATTGTTACATGCTTTATTAGATTTTCATGCCATAATTGTTGTGCTTTATTAGATTTTCAGGCCATAATTGTTACTTGTCATTCAATTAGTCTTGTATTAAATTGGTTGTCTCTTCTATGACACCATGCTTACTTGATACTTGTCTCTACTTGCTTTGCTTGCATATCTAAATTGTCATATGCTTTACTTGCCTTATTATTTTATAGTATTTGTTGCCTTCTATAATGTGGTTCCACTTGTATGCGTTGTTTAATTGATCGATACCGATGAGTTGGTAAAATTGAGACTTCGAGTTGTTAGAGGTTCTTTGATTATTATGTGATTCTTTATTGCCTCGTACATTTACCCTTTTGATATATAAATTCTTGTAAATTTTGATTGTTGAATTGTTTATATTGATTGAATATGTTTGGGGAGCGGGTTGCACGCCGTAACGGAAATTGAAAGGTAATGAATTGAAATGGCGGAATAAGGACAGATTATGATATTGACAGATGATGATATGGTGGAATCGGGTTGCGCGTCGCAACGAATTGTACATGTGGTATTTGTTTATGATTGTTGGATATGCCTTGGTATTTCAAGATGAGTTTACGAGACTTGTTATTCTGGACTCTCTGGTTGTTGGATTTCGAGCTCGTTTTTATGAGTTAACTACTTCCATTTCCTATTTTTTTTCTACTACTACTACTACTACTATTATTATTATTATTATTATTATTATTATTATTATTATTATTATTATTATTATTATTATTATGATTATTATTATTATTACTATTATTATTATGATTATTATTATTATTATTATTATTATTATTATTATTGTAAGTTACCCGCCTTAGCCTCCTCACTATTTCGTCGAGGTTAGGCTCGGCAATTACAGAGTACATGAGGTCGGTTGTACCCATACTATACTATGCACTTTCTTGTGCAGACATCGGAGTGGATCCCACCAGCGCTGAGTGAGATTTGCCCGGATCCAACTATCTGTGAAAACTTGAGGTATAGCTGCACGGTGTCCGCAGCCCTGAAGTCCCCTTCTATGTCATTTTAGCTGTTTATTTTGATTCAAAAAGTTTTATTTTATTTAGACTATTATCTGTAGTACTCTAGACGCTCATGTATTCGTGACACCAGTTTCTAGGATTGTATTTGGATTACGTCGTTTATTAGTTTATCACTTTATTTTAGACTATTCAGTTTTATGGTTATCATTTGATTTGAATTGTTAAAAATGGTTAATAAATATAGCTAATGTTGGCTTGCTTAGCAAGTGAAATATTAGGCGCCATCGTGATCCCGAGGATGGAAATTCCGGGTCGTGACAATTATGGAGCTCCTGTGGATAAACTTCCAGCATATTATATTGGAACTCCTGCACATTATGAAATTTCAGCATAATATGCTGGAATCTCATATGTAAAATATTTGAACTCCAGCATATTATGCTGGAATTTTTCCGGATCTTTCAAGGTGTTTTGCTTCAGATTTTATCTTTACATGAAAAAATGGCTTAATTTCAATTAATTTTGAATATGTGGCTATTCAGTTATAAATCAGGCTATTTCTGATTTTTTTTTCCTCGTATCTTAGATTCATATGTTGTAAGAGTCATAATTAACTTAACATTATTAATTCTACAGTTAATAACCTTTTGTCACAAAAATACTTTATAAATTTTTAATTTTGTACCTATGTGCTATAAAAGTTAAATTTTTAATTGCATCATAACTTAATCTATCTTGTGGTTACGTGAAATATAATTAGATCAACCACTCAATATTATTAATGAGGTTTAATTACATAAGCTGTTATTTTATTGTAAACTGACTTTTTTATTTAAAAATTCAATTTCAAGCTCTATATTTAATTTCATCACATTTGGAATTTAATTTATTAATTCTATTGTAGAAATTAGAGGAGAATGTCGTTTTAAAAAGATACAAAATTTAATCGATTTTATGGGTCAATACGAGGATAACCGGTCGATCACCGTTAATCTGTCGATCAACTCTAGGTGGGGCTGCAAGCTTGAGAAGTGCTTTGCTTTCTCGATCAACCAATAAAAAAGAGACGAAATAAATGGAAAGGGATAGGCTTTACCGTGAAGATTAATGAATCGCAATCTCTATTGGACTAGATTAGGAAACTTTAGGGGATCTTTTTATAAATACTCACTGACAAAAAATTATTTATCCGCCCCTACTTATAAAGTTTTTCCCTTACTTATTCTCTTTAATACCCCCAGCCAAATAAAGTCAAACTGAGCTACTAAAATCAAGTCAGCCAATTCACACCGAGCCAAGTCAATTCAATCCAAACCAATCCAAGCCAAATCAAGCTATGTCAAGCCAATTGGGTAAGAAAAGTGGGATGGGCAGGTAGATTGGATAATTAGCTTTAATTGGGTAGATATATGTAGTAACTAGTTTTCAAATGGGTAAAGAAGGGTAATTAGTTTAACCTCAATTGGTATTTTGCAT